TGGTGCCCATATGGGATGCCAGCACCTCAGGCCAGGGCATTAACCTGCTGTGCCACAGCATCGGCCCCACCTCAGAAATTTGAACATAGACCAATCATATGGCCCAACCATCCCATTCCTGGGAATGTACCCAAGGGAAATAAAATCGGCATATAAAAGAGTTATCTGTACCCCCTGTGTTTATTGCAGTTAAATTCACAATAGCTAAGATATGGAATCAACCCAAATATCTATCAACTGAAGACTGCATAAAGAAATTATGGGATAGATACACCATGGAATATGACACAGTGATGAAAATAAATGAAACCCTTCATTTGAACAAAATCTATGAAACTGGAAAACATCATACTTAGCAAAATAAACCAGTCCCAAAAGGACAAATGCCATATGTTCTCCCTAATGTACAGTGACTAACAGGCAATCTAAAAGGTACTCTATAGAAATGAAATTGACATTATGAGATTCGATGACTTTGAAGAGCCCTTGTCTCTACTGTTTAGGAAGTTGATTTTTTTTAGACTATTGTTTAACTCCTTACTTAGTATAGAGTTAATCTTATGGTTGTAATTATTAAATGCATTAAGTTTATACACTTTAAATAAAAGGTTTCTGAGAGGGGGAATAAAATGTACATAAATAAATGGCCACCTTAAAAAGAAATTTGACAATTTCTAATAAAGTAAAAGTAAACAATACATATAAACCAATGAACCAGCAATTCTACTTCTGGATATGTTTGCTAGATATGTTCCTATATAAAGAAATAGAAAGGGGAGGCCAATGCTGTGGCTTAGGAGATTAAGCCTCCTCCTGCACCCATGTGGGAGACCTAGAAGAAGCTTTTGGCTCCTGGCTTTGGATCAGCTCAGCAGCTCTGGCTGTTGCAGCCATCTGGGGAGTAAACCAGCAGATGTAAGACTTTTTTTCTCTGTCTCTCCCTCTAACTATAACTCTATTCTGTCTCTCAAGTAAATAAATGAAATGTTAAAAAAAAAAAGAAATAGAGTTCCAGCCCAAAATCACTATAATAACAAATCATGGTTAACTATCCAATATCAAGATAAAAATGAATAAGTTGTGATATATTTATATATTGAAATGTAACACAAATAAATTAGATAGATCTCCAAAACAGAGGATTCAAAGAAAAATTAAGCAAGCTGAAAAATGATATACCTTACCAATTCTGTTAACATAAATCACATGTAAAAAAAGGTAATATAGCCTAAGTCCAATCTTGAAATTCACATTTTGCTTAAAAAAGTGTTTTCTATTTTGACATAATGTAAATTTTTGTTTATTTCATGAACTGATGTCTCATCACTTTGGAATGCTATTATATATACTCATAAATTTTGTTCCTTATTTATTCAAATGTCTAGTTATTCTGGTAAGATCCTTCATCATAGTCTTATGAAGTATTTCCTAAAAGATGATTAATGCTTCTACATGTAATGGTGTGAGTACAAGTTACCTTCTTTTTAAAACAGATTTGTTTGAAACACAGGGAAAAAGAGAGGGAAGTGAAGGGAAAGATAGGGAACAGAGAGGGAGAGAGAGAAAGAGCAAGAAGAAGAGGGGGAGAGAGAAGGATCTTCCACTGCTAGTTCACTCCACACCTGGTCACAACATCCAGGGATGGGCGAGGGGGCAGCCAGGAGTCAGGAACTCCATCCTGGTCTCTCCTATGGGTAGAAGGGACCCCAGCACATGGGCCATCATCTACTGCCTTCCCAGATGCATTAGCAGGGAGCTGGATCAAAAGCAGAGCAGTAAGGACTCAAATCAGCATTCTGATTTGGGATGCTGGCATCAAAAGCAATGACTTAAAGAGATCACATAAATAAGACCAAGTGTCTGCTAATAATAATAGATAGAATTAAAAGGCCAGCGCTGTGGCTCACTAGGCTAATCCTCCGCCTGCGGAGCCGGCACTCCGGGTTCTAGTCCCAGTTGGGGCACCAGTTCTGTCCTGGTTGCTCCTCTCCCAGTCTAGCTCTCTGCTGTGGCCCAGGAAGGCAGTGGAGGATGGGCCAGGTCCTTGGGCCCTGCACCTGCATGGGAGACCAGGGGGAGGCACCTGACTGCTGGCTTCAGATCAGTGCAGCGCCCCGGCAGTGGCACACATTTGGGGGGTGAGCCAACGGAAGGAAGACTTTTCTGTCTCTCTCTCTCACTGTCTAACTCTACCTGTCAAAAAAAAAAAAAAAAAAAAAAAAAAAAAAAGAAATAAAAAGGAGAGAATGATCCAACATTCTATAATTTGGATTATAGTGGTTCTTCCCCCAATACCCGCCTGCTCACCCCCAAACCATCCCACCTCCTACTCCCTCTCCCATCCCATTTTTCATTAAGATTTATTTTTAATTATCTTTATATACAGAAGATCAACTCTATACTAAGTAAAGATTTCAACAGTTTGCACCCACACAGACATACAAAGTATAAAATACTGTTTGAAGACTAGTTTTACTGTTAATTCTCATAGTACAACATATTAAGGACAGAGGTCCTACATGGGGAGACTCATAGCAGACTCATAGAATGACAAATGCCCTAAACAACACTTTGGCCTTAGAATCAGTCCTTAAGGCATTTGGATCTGGCTACAATGCCCACGAGAGCATTTCAAGCATGGAAAGCCAAGACACTGTGACAATAAGTGACCTACATGAAAGATCTCTGTGAGTGAGATCCCGGTGGAAATAGGGGACCATCAAAGAAGGCAGTACCTTTCTCTGAAGGGAGGAAAGAACTTCCACTTTGATTTTGGCCTTGTCTAAATAACGTCAGAGTTTGTGAACTCAAGAGGCTTCCATAGCCTTGGCAGCTCATGACAAGATCCTCGGGTGATGACTGATGTCATAAATAAGAGTGTCAATTATTAACAGCAGGAGTCACTGTGCACTTGCTCCCCATGTAGGACCTCTGTCCTTAATGTGTTGTACTATGAGAATTAATGGTAAAACTAGTCTTCAAACAGTATTTTATACTTTGTGTGTCTGTGTGGGTGCAAACTGTTGAAATCTTTACTTAGTATAGAGTTGATCTTTTTTATATAAAGATAATTAAAAATAAATCATAATGAAGAATGGGATGGGAGAGGGAGTAGCAGGTGGGATGGTTTTGGGGTGGGAAAGGGTGGAAAGGGGGAAGAACCACTATAATCCAAAAGTTGTACCTATGAAATTTATATTTATTAAATAAAAGCTTTCTATAAAAAAAGGCAATGACTTAACCCGCTGAGCCATCATGCTGATCCCAAACTATCTTCTTTAGAAAGATTCATGCATGTGTCAGGAATTTCTTCTCTCTGTTAGGCTGATAAGGAAGTTAGGTTTGCACAGAAATGTATAAAATTTTCTATTCCAGGATCTTCTTTCTCATAAGAAAATTCCACAGTGATTCTTGTGCTCAATGTGTTTTCTTTGCTTATTAATAGTGATCAACAGTATAATGCTTGTTGCTGATAGACAAGAGCAATCACTGACTCAGGAATGTATGCATTACCCCACTGAATCTTCTGCCATGGAGAGGAGGTTCCATTACTAAACCCATTTCACATAAAGACACTGAGACCTAGAGAAGATCAAGAAACCTGCCTTACATGTCACAGCTGGAATTCAGATATGACCCTTATGGAGCCAATCATTTTGAATTTTGCTTTCTGAAAATTACTTTTCTCCCAACATATCCCCTCCCCTCCCCCTCCCACCCCAGGATCCCTGTTCACCAACAAAATTCAGTTTTATCACAATGACCACCTGCTACAAAATAATTTCAGTCAACTTATCTCAGCCTCAATAAATAAGACAGGAAATACCTTGTTCATGCTGAACAAATCTAGCACTTAAATATCCTGCTAGATGTAGGAAGTACTATAGAGAGACCGTGGACCTTGATTATATTTTAAGGGAGCTCACTGTGTTTTGAAGAAATTCAAATCAAAAACTCATTTCCATGGCTGGAAATGCTTACTGTTTCTTTGAAAGCAACATAAAATGATGTTTTTTTAAAATATATTTTGAACACGGTTTAGATGATCGCAACAGATTCAAGCTCATTTGTGAGCAGGATACATCATCAAATAATCAAATGGCATTCCATCCTGAAGAGTTGAAAGCTTCCTCTGAGCATTTTATTTACTCACTGTGCAACAGATATTATTGAATGACAGATTCCATCATGATGGTTATCTTTATATCTGTTTAAAAGGGGTATCAATGATTACTTACACTTTATGCTTATGCAAAACACATTGCAATTGTTCTTTAATTGTCTCATGTGTCTACTTGTTCAGCCAAGTATATAAAGACTTCCTCAAAGGCAATATCTACATCTTAAACTCACTCCCTTGTTAGTCACTAAATCATCAATTTCAGGTCTGGATTCATAATCAGGGCTCAACAAATTCCTATTAAACTGAAGTTGATTTTAGCATGAACATGTTGATATGCTTTAGCGAAGCACAGTGAAATATCTAAGTATGTTTAGGAAAATCATCTTTCCTATTATGTCAGTCTGGGGCTGGATGAAATATGGCTTTGGATAAACACAGCCTGTGATAACAAGGCTGCTTACTTTCACACACACACACACACACACACTCCCATGCATGTGCATTTTGAATATATATGCTTTAATATCTAGTTTATAGAAATTCCAAATAAAATTTAAAATAACATTTGACAGTATACCTAAAACCAAACTCTACAGAAAATATTATTCATTCCAACTCTCTTTGCATAATATTCCACAGTTAATTTTATTTAGTGCATTCCATGTGCCAGACACTTGCATATATGTTAGTTTTAAATCTGTGTTACAGACATGTTTTCCTCTACTGCACACTAAAAAAGAAATGGAGGGTGAGGAATATTCAGTAACTTTCCCACTGTCACAAGTAGCAAGTTGTGATCCAGTACCTGAAACCACACCTCTCTATTGTTAATCACTACAAAACCATTTAGTGAGCTGGAAACAGAAACAGTCCTCACCGCTTGGGCTGATTCCAATTGCTGTACGCTGCATTCTGAAGTTCGCTTTCTTCTCCTTCTCCTTCTTCTCGCTCTGGTAGTTCTGGCATGTCTCTGATTAAAGAGTTAGACAGTGAACACCCCCAAATCTAGTACAAGCATGCAAGACTGTCTTGTATGTACACAGACTTGAACTGTTTTATATTTTCAACATACCTGCACATTCAAGGATGCAACATTTTTTTCACAGGGAAATGAAAATCAAACAGAATTAAAATTTTACATTAGAATCAATCAACCATACTTAGTCTGGAAAGATATCTGAACACTAAGAAGGTTGTATAGTATGTTTTTCCTGAAGACACATGGGAAAACATAGGAAAGGAACAGGAAGAAGGGGATAAATAGCCAACTTTAAAAGAAAAATTACTCAGATAATATTTCATAAATTCCTATCACGTGCAAAAAGAGCATGCAGAACTCTGCTCCCTGCTCTGAAGAAATCTCATCAAGTATGCCAGGAGGTTAGCATCACTGCTTCCTAAGGTCAGAGCAATGTTTTTTCCTTTAGAAATAGACAATGCTCATGGTCAAGCTTCAGCCCTGTTGTAGGGGTCCAGACACAGAATACTCCTTACTTGAAGCAGGGTATAATGCACCTGTAGTTCACTTTTCCATTTTCATGGCAATTCAGATTTTACAAAATGCCAAGAAGATAAGAAAATGTTTCCAGTCTGTCAATTGCCCACAAATAAAGCTGTATATAATACTATCAGCAACTATTAACTTCCCAAAGGTAAGCTTTACAATAATAAATGGCATTGCAATGGCAAAAGAGAAAGGTTAAATGGACTGTGGCATGTCCTTATGCTGCTGTTAAAAATTATGTCCATATATTCCTTTTAAAGTAGAAAAGACTATAAAAATTTTGACACAATGTTTATTTAAACTGAAACATATAAAGAAATTATATTTTCAAATTATAACAGAATAACTGAAGTCCCTAAAATTATATAATCTTTATATTTTGAGATCAGAGGTCACCTAATCCAATAATCCATCTGTGTTTGAATGTGCTTCACATTTCTGGAAAGCAATTTCCTAGGCTCACTTTGAATGTCTCATTCTTTGACATGTGTGGTAGATTTTGTGTTTAAATTTCTGGAATTAAATCTATCTGGTTTTATGCTTAAACTTCCTTTTACTCGCTCTCTGTGTTTGAATTCCTCTTTTGTGCAGATTGAAGAATAAAGCTCTGATGAGGTTAGGGTTCCTAGAGTCTAAGCTGGACACACTGGGGACAGTCCCAAGAAGAGGAATCTCAAAACAATATCATGGAATTGCATTCATGCAAAGGATGTAGCACAAGAAGGTCAAAAAGAGGCCTCACCCTCTGGAAATAAAACTGGAGACAATATGATGGGGAAATAGCGTTGGAAGACAGACAAGAATGAGAACTTAGAAAGGGCTCCTGGCTGGCGCCGCGGCTCACTAGGATAATCCTCCGCCTGCGGCGCTGGCACTCGGGTTCTAGTCCCAGTTGGGGTGCCGGTTCTGTCCTGGTTGCTCCTCTTCCAGTCCAGCTCTCTGCTGTGGCCCAGGAGTGCAGTGGAGGATGGCCCAAGTGCTTGGGCCCTGCACCCGCACGGGAGACCAGGAGGAAGCACCTGGCTCCTGGCTTCGGATTGGCGCAGTGCCAGCCGTAGCGGCCATTTGGGGGTGAACCAATGGAAGGAAGACCTTTCTCTCAGTCTCTCTCTCTCACTGCCTGACTCTGCCTGTCAAAAAAAAAAAAAAAAAAAAAAAAGAAAGAAAAAAGGACTCCTAAAATACTTAGTGATGGCGGCTATAGGATTAGGGGGACAATTCTCAATCTTTTTTTTTTTTTTTTTTTTTTTTTTTTTTTTTTTTTTACAGGCAGAGTGGACTGTGAGAGAGAGAGACAGAGAGAAAGGTCTTCCTTTGCCATTGGTTCACCCTCCAATGGCCACCGCGGCCGGTGCACCGCGCTGATCCGATGGCAGGAGCCAGGTGCTTCTCCTGGTCTCCCAGGCGGGTGCAGGGCCCAAGCACTTGGGCCATCCTCCACTGCACTCCCTGGCCACAGCAGAGAGCTGTCCTGGAAGAGGGGCAACCAGGACAAAATCCGGCGCCCCAAGTGGGACTAGAACCCAGTGTACCGGCACCGCAAGGCGGAGGATTAGCCTAGTGAGCTGCGGCGCCGGCCAATTCTCAATCTTAAAACCCACTCTGTGGGAGCTACTCCAAAGCACCATTGGCCATCTTACATCACAGTTCTTTTTAATTGTAAGAACACAGGTATCGTAAGTCCTGTGATATAAGAACCCCAGTCTCTTCCAATGATGATACTATCTTGAATCTTTTCTAAATCTTCTAAATGTGATGATGATTCTTTATCTATCTTAGAGCATACTTTCCAAGACTCAAGTTTCATGTGTTCCAAGAGCAGAACAGACAATCTCTTCATCTTGAACTCAAATTTGCCAAGAAAGAACTAGATTTCTTTGCACCTGGGCAACCCTGTTGATGATGGATGAAATGTGCATTTACTATAATCACATAGCTCCTTCTTCCTATATATAGGTGTCAGGTAAATTAACTAACATAAATGTAGCAGAAATTTAAACTGAGGCCATCTTACCACAACACCTAAGTTCTTAATTTCCATGCTACATTGCCACAAATTTTAATGTGGTACAGCTTTTATGGAGTTGTGCAATTCGTTCTTTGCGTCCAGTGGTTAAGAACATAGGGTCTCCCTGCTTGTATTCTAAGCATGTCATGAAACTTACCAGCTGTGGGATCTGGGCAAATTACTTAACCTTTTCTCTGTTGAACATTCCTCCTTTATAAAATGTAAATAAATTTAAGTCCCTTGATATTGTAAATAGCATGCCAATGGCAGCTAGTCAAAACATTAAACAATCCAGTTTATTCTCCTTACTATGCTGGGAGGGAAGCACAGTGCTGAAATTAGCTGCTTTTAATAATTTTTGAGGGTTTTAATGATCTAGAGCTTAGTCCTTAGATGTTACTTAGATGTTACCAGTTGTATTTTTTAATTATGCTATTTGAAAAAACATTTTAGAAGGAAATTGGAATGAAATTAGAATGAAATCTCCATGTTGATTTGAAACACTGTGAAATTAGAATAAATTCATACCATTAACAGTTGGAAATTCTAGAACGGGCTGTGCTGAGTTTTCTATAGGGTGGAATGCATACTTCTTTTTCCATTTAATTCATGAGCTCCCCAAGGACAGTAACTTTCATTTTGTGTATTAAACTCATATCTTCCTTTCCCTAACATTTCTTTGTTCTGTGTCCTGTGTAATGTACAAAGGAGGCAATGATACAGTGATTGGAGACCATGTTGTTCTGGGATATTCTGACACCCTTTAAGGAAGAGTGGAAATCTTCAGATAACACCTGAGAATGCCAGGAAGACCACGAGTGCTCTATAGCACGCTGAAAGGAAAATCTGACAATGAATTGCCAGTTCAGCTGAGGAAGACAGGATCACAATTGAGAATGTAAAATGGAACATTCTTCATTGAAAAAAAATTTGATATTATTTTTCTCTCTGCTCTGAACTTAAGCATCAGCAGCATCAAAACCGAGATCCTGTTTTCTAAAGGGTAGGGAAAAAAACCCTTCCCCTTTATCGTTTAGAGGTTTTTTTTTTTTTTTTTTTTTTTTTTTTTTTTTTTACAGGCAGAGTGGACTGTGAGAGAGAGAGACAGAGAGAAAGGTCTTCCTTTGCTGTTGGTTCACCTTCCAATGGCCGCTGTGGCCGGCGCACCACGCTGATCCGATGGCAGGAGCCAGGTGCTTCTTCTGGTCTCCCAGGCGGGTGCGGGGCCCAAGCACTTGGGCCATCCTCCACTGCACTCCCGGGCCACAGCAGAGAGCTGTCCTGGAAGAGGGGCAACCGGGACAGAATCCGGTGCCCCAACCAGGACTAGAACCTGGTGTGCCAGTTCCGCAAGGCGGAGGATTAGCCTAGTGAGCCGCGGCGCCAGCCCGTTTAGAGGTTCTTAAAATGCTGCATATCAAGGTCTTTTAAAAAGCCACTCTGTCTTCTAACATGTGGATGAACACTCATATACCAAGAAGTTCAGCTCAACATTCTCCAAAAAGGGTAAAATAACTATTAAATATTTCAGAATCAGTGTATATGATAATAGAGGAATAATAAAACTTAAGAAGATGTTCGGTACTTATATGAAAGGAACAAACATTATAGAAAACTATAGGAATTCTAATGAATTAAATAATATTCATATTGGGTAAATTAACAAAATTTAGTATATAAAGTGCTACACATGGTGACAGAATTAGACTTTAATTTCATCATTCAAACATTCATACACTCCAAAAATTTTGATACTGTGTGATAATTATTTAAGTAATAAAGGGGAAGAATTTTTTTTTTATTCTTAGAAGAGTGAACTGAATTCACACTCTGTATTTGCTCCAGTCCTTTTTGATTCTGAATTCAGAATTCTTCCTCTATCAGCCATTCATTGTAGGGGACTTAAGGTTCATTTACCTGACAGTGTATGAAGGCAACGCATCTAGGGACATTATTCCTCCAGATTGTTGTCCCAAGCTCATTCTGAACTCTTCCAGATGTTCTGCAGGCACATACGTAATTCTGGAACAAAACAATCCATGAAAGCAAAGGGAAATAATAGTTGTCCTGTTAGGAAAACCTGCTACTACATAGGACAAATTACGTCATCTCTTCCTCCCTCAGGGGCCCTGCAATGTAGGCATCTCATAGGAGTGCTGGTTCAAGTCTAGGCTGCTCCACTTCCATTCCAGTTCCTTGCTAATGTGCCTGGGAAAGCAGCAAAAGGTGGGCTGAGGTGCTTGGGCCTGTACCACTCATGCTGGAGACTCGGATGGAGTTATGGGCCCCTGGTTTTTGCCTTTCCCAGCCCCAGCCGTCATGATCATTTGAGAGCTGATCCACAGATAAAAGAGCTATAAATCTGCCTATCTCCTTATCTCTAACTCTACCTTTCAAATAAATAAAGAAATCTTAAGAAAAGCACCATTAGCAAAGAACCCAAACTTTCAAAGGATAAACTGTTCCATAAGCAAGAGTAACAATGAAATTAAATTTTTTAATGCTGCTGCCAAAGTCTGTGATTACCAATAATTGTATTGGGGGAAGAAAATGTCTTTCTTTTTTTTCTCTTTTAAGGGATTTATTTATACATGAGATTCTCCGGGTCATAGAAATGCATAATTATTACAACACAATTCTCATGTTAATGACCTATTAATACAAAGAGAACAGATTTAATGTAGTTCATAGACACAATTCTTTCTCCTTTTCTTTCTTGCTTTCTTGTTTTCTTTTGTTTACATGAACATTTTTTAGGAAATAGGAAGATGTATAAATCCTTAGAATAATAATTGCCATTAAATATTAATTTGTCCAAACTGGGTTCTCCAGCAGAAACAAATTAGTTGGACTCCATTAAAACACTAAATATCCCATTGTATTTTATATTTCTCTACAATTAATTATAGTTTTAGCAAGCACTGTCAATAATTAAGTTAGCTCTATTAAGTTATAAATTCTCAAGTCTGAAGCATGAAGTTAAACCATTTAAGTTTATGGAAAAGTTCTTAACAATTTGTCGCAATTTCTTATAAGTTCACTTGTAAGTTCAAAGAAAAGTGTGTTATTTACACTTGAATGGTCACTTACTGCTTCAACAGGCTGTATGCCTGTTAGGCGGAAGCCACAGTGTTAAATGATGACTACAGCTGTAACATTTAGAAACTGACACTTGAACTCAAGTTTACAGGTATCTTAAGAAGTTATTCACAGACTTGATAAACTTCTTTAAAGCAGGTTGTTCTAAGATCCTCAAATTAAGAATCAGAAAGGTAAGAAAAGTACATAGCTGGAATCAGCACATGTTAGTGCAGCATGTTGATACAACTAAGGAAAAAAAGCACTAAACATGCACAATACAGAAATCATGAAGCTTATTAACCATCTAGCCATAGTTTACCCATTAATACAGTAACCAAATAAAACCTGAGCATGGAAAGGCAAGGACAAAAAGACTTGTTTTATATAAGAAAAGAAAAATTTTATCAAAGGCATAATTAGTTGAGTGAGAAAGATATAAGAACATATTGGCGATCTCACAAAAAAGCATAAAACCTTTGACTTCACCGAAGCGTGAGGCTTTCCTGTCCTTGGAGATGCGGTAGGAAAGTAAATACCACTGATGAACTCCCACACCCTTTGTCAAAAAGAGGCGCCTCTCTGAGGCTACCATAAACTGAGAAGCACAGGACAAACACTAGGCAGTGCTCTAACAGAACCTCAGCTCTCCTGCTCTTCCCAAGCCCTCCCGCAGAACGTGTGGACTCTGGGAATATCTTCATGATACTTTAACTTCAAGGATCGAAAAACGAAGCAAGAAAACACAGATCAGTAAATTTAGGACTAGTCTGGAACTGAGGGTTGCATTCTAATCTGGCCATGTTTATTCATCTACTAAAACAGTTTCAGGTGCTAACAAAAATAATGCTGAATTGCAAATTTACTATTATCTCTTCAAAACTCAGGAGTCAAAATACACAATACTTTATGTCTGGAAGGAAGACTATATTTTACACAAAGAAAAATAAGCATAAAACAAATTCTGAGACTATTAAGATTCAAGAAAATCAATATAGACAAAACCTTAAGTTTAAAAGAATGAATGAATGAATAAATGAATGAATGAATAAAAAAGAGAGAAGGAAGGGAGGGAGGAAGGGAGGGGAAAGTAGGGCACAACAGCAAAACTCGCAATAACCAGTACAAAGTATTAAATATTTTAGTTGGATGGAGAAGGTAAAGATGGCTCTAACCAAACAATGTTGAAAATGAGTTTTCTTCTGTATTCAGTCAACGCTTGTTTTCTTCCTTTACCAAACTGGGGGAATGAGAAATTTTACAAAGATTTTTCTAACACTTTGGTAGCAGTGAGAATGAGTAAAGCAGGCAGTTTTCAGAAATATTTGTCCCAGTAGACACAGCAAGCCCCCTGGAACAGCATCCCACAATGCAACAGCACACCCTTACTCTTACACATGCCTGGTCGCAGGACCACACAAAGCCTCCAAAGCCCCAACAAAGAACACCGAAGCTGTACATGCTGACACAGCTGATTTGAGAGTTGTATCAAAAATTTTTAAAAATAAAGTAACCTTTGATAATGCAGAGTAGAAGGAAAAAACATGTATCATTAGTGAAGCCAGAATGTGATAGGGTTGTTAATCCAGAGACTGTGCCTACTCATGCAGACAGAATCATTCCTTTACAAAGGAGCTTGAAGGTTTAGTAGTTGGAAAATATCATTTTCAAATGAGTTCACAATCATTGGTGTGATGTGAAAAATCTAACAATCCCATAGCTCTGTTTGAATTTATGTTCTTATATAAAGGCAGGGGAAAAAAAAGCCAAAGTATACGCTGAATCTATATCTAGATCTATCCGTACGCGTTGGGACTTTACAAAAGCACGAAATGGTTTTCACAGACAAGTTGTAACACACAGCCATAATGAGCTTTTGAATCACCGATACTCACACATAAAAGGGGGCTCGATAGTCAGCAGGTGCTGCAGAAAATCTAGAATGTGAAGCATACGCCACGGCATCTTTTTACAATGGTGTTAACAAATGTCAATGTCTTGTGTTGAATGTGAGACGCATACATATGTAGTTAAAAGTGGGTGCTCCTGGTTGTTTTTTATACCCTCTCCACCTCCCTCCCATCTACACCTCCCCCAGAAAAGCATCTGCTCTTTACTAGTGTCTATAGCAGTGATTATTAACAAGCATGGAAGAAAGTAACTGCAATCAATCTTTTATTCCTTGATCAGGAATTCATCCCACACTTTAGGTTAAGGCAGGTGAATTCTGATTCTGCTCAGTAATTATCTGGCAGATGTTGTAAGCAGCTGCTGCTAAGCACAAAACCCTGGCTATTATTACAGAAATATAAGAGCTCCTGGCAAGGTGGAGTGAGAAGTGAAACAGAATGCATTCTGGTGAGGTTTCACATCTGGTTTTCCATAGAAAATAATGAAACCTGGAACTTACACTGGCTATTCTTGAACTCTTGAAACTCAGATTATCCACCCAGGCCTGCATGAAGGCACACAAAGTTCCTAGCTATCTAAATGGCAAAATGAAATCCAGTTAATTGTCTCAATAAGCAATGCTTTCCCTAAAAAACCAATTAATTATGTAACTGAACCAGACTTTTTTTTTTTAATGCCCCTATAATATACGCCCCCATGGCTACCATCATTCAAGCTAGGTTCATAATAAGAAATAAAGAGATACATGGATGGAGCTCATTTCCAAGCAATAGCTAACAGAGCTGCATTAGTCAGAGGCAATGTTAAGGTTCTGTTCAGAATAACAGGACTAGACTCCTTTCAAGGCAATTCTAAAGCTTTGCTTCAGGAAAGGCAAATGTGGGAAGGAGACAAGACCAAAAACACTTCCTGAAAAGCTCAGACCACATGCTGTACAACCCTGGACAATCTAAACGGCAGACTATTTTTGTTTTATCATTTAACACATTTTTAGAAAGAATTATGTAAGGACGATACTAATTTCTATCATTTACTCAAGTTGTCAAGCTATAACCATCTGCATCAGAGCATTAGTAGGACACTGAGGAAATCAATGTGTTGTGTTTTTGAGTGTGTGTGTAAGTATGCAAGCACGGGTATATGTCAAAAACTGACCAGCTAATTGATTTCCAGAGAACAGAAGGGTGCAAGATTTTTCTTCTTTTTTAAAAATGCTAATATTCTACAGTACATTTTGCTTCTTGAGATCTTAAAGCAGTTGCCTCTGAAGCAAGCTCTCTAGACATCCATCCATCAGGATCATGATAGAGCCATTGCCCACATGACTGGGTATATTTGACTGAATCAGCCAAAAGGGGAAACACACACATACACACACCAAAAGATAAAGAAAGAGAGCAAAAGACTTTTGAACTTGAAAAATGAAAATTTTCTGGAGTTGACTATATGTATGATTTGTGCCAAGCTGATGTCACAATTATCTTACTTTTTGGCCAGTTTTAATTTCTACAATAATACATTAGGGCTGATGGGTGAGGCTAGCACTGAGTACCGATTCTGGATTCACGATCTCGCCAAAATATAGGCAGGAAAGCTGCATCAGTGGCACTGAGCCTTCCATATTTATCATGGTACAATAAATCAATCAATGTACTAGGCGGTCTGCATTTTGTACTACATCTAAACCATATAAGTTAAAATTGTTTAAGCAAATAGTCTCCAAGTGAATCTATATCTCTCATATTTTAAGAAAAATGAAGGAAAACTGGCCACAAATGGTGGGGAATGAAAGCACTTCGAAGTTTCTCTTTTCTCTTATTATACAGGGACTGACACTTAATGAGGTTCACTTGTTTTTACACTATCTTAAGGTAATTAAGTAATAGTTACATGATTTTATGCTCTGTTCAATTGTAAAATAAAAGTCAAAAAGGCATACACAAATATGAAAGACCATTAGTTAAGGTTCTGCCTAAAAATAATTTAAGCATCAGAATTCACTCCAAATGCTATATACTTTCCTGCTTTTTATTGATGGTTGAATGAAAAACAGATTGTAAATATAGCTTTTCTAACCTAAGCTCTAGTAGTATGTCCGGTGCAAAAGAATCAGTAATAAAAAATGTAGTCAATAAAGTATCATGAATCAAAAACGTTTCCTATACTAGTAATCACGGTATCAGTTTAAGATAAACAATCTTTCCCTGAGCTTTACTTCAAGAATTTATTCTTTATACATTAAAAGCAAATATTAAATGATCAATGTTAGAGGAGAAAGCCACATTGATGAGGTGTGACAATAAAGTAATGAACTGATTTTTATACTGGCTCAAGGAAAGTTCAGTGTCTTAAAATCTAAATCTGAAAGCACATATGACGTGCTTTCAGATCAGTATGAGAAATTTTAAGCAGTTTCCAACAAAGTATCCCACATGACCTATAATCAGACTATACCAACATGTTGGTGAATTCCCTTTGGGTCACGAGGCTGTTAATGAAAAAGAAGTTGCCGGTAAGAGGAGTACTGTTCTTTCTCATGCTGGCCCTCATCAAAAGCTTGCTTGGTTCTAGGATTCACACAGGTCACTTAGGTAGTGAGGTCAATCTTAACTTCTAAGATCCCAATGGTGGATTCTCCTGTTTTGTGAGAGATGTCTTATAACTCTCACAGCTACAGTTCTTATAGAGTATACTGGAGAGGTACAATTAAGATACCAAGAAAATTTTATTAGAATTTTAACACTCTTACAGTCTTAGAGAGACTACACCTACAATCAAGAGCTATTCAAATTCTTTAGTGATTTATGTTAAAGAAATGTAGGGTAACTTTTGTGGTTTAAATAGTACATCCTGGAAAAAAAAATCTGATGAAATAATTGAACCTCCTGACTTTCCCAAACCAAACTGAGATCCAGACAATACTTACTTTATGTCAGGCCCAATGAGAGAATGTCTTCTCAGCATGGCTCGTGCCTGAGCATTGGTTAAGCTGATGGTAGATTCTTCATTAATGGACAAGATACAGTCCCCAACTGCAATCCTGCCATCTCGACTAATGGCACCACCATGAATAATGCTCCGAACTATCATCCCCAATCCATCTTTATTAGCACTTACTGTCATCCCTACAGGAAAAGATGAACATATATATGAATTAAACACATTATTTTCAACTCCTTTTCATTTGAAGTTAGTGATAGTTATGGATTCCTATGTAAAAGGAGAAACATTTTGTCAAAAAAAAATAGGAAAGAAAAAAGCTTTTCTAACCAAAGCAAACTTTAAAATATTTGTAAAATGATATCCAGATTAAAGTAACTCATGTAGAATACACTAGAGAAGAAACAATTCTACATTGTGGGATGAATGTAAGCTCAGCCACCTGATGTACTGCCACTGAAGTGAAGCTGAAAGCTCTCAGGGAGAACACTGTGACAATATCCAATCCATTTTGTAACTGTAATTCATCTCTTACAGAGATAGGAGAATAAAAATAGAACCACAAATGAAAAATTGGGTCTACCAAGTAAGAAATTCTCTGATATAACCATTTTAAGTCACTTATTCATTCAGAACTAATTTAGTATATAGTTTCTATGTTCCAGGTCCTATACTAGTTGTTTAAGATAAAAAAGCATAGTATAGAATTCCTAACATCAAGAAACTCATAGTCAATTATCAAGCCCCAGTTCCTATCACACTGCCTGAATGTAGTTTGCGAAACTGAACTGATATAAACTGAATTCCAATCTGTTCCATTTTATCTCTGAGCTCCTGTGAGCTCCCAATTTGGATAGTCAATTGCTCTCTTGACACAGCCCTTGCATGCCTCATGGAAATGTAGCCTTAGACTTTAACTTCCAGTTTTTCACATCCCCTTATTTCTTCACTTGTCTTTCCCTTTTTGGTAAATGATACCTCCATACCATCACTGTTATTCAAAACACAAATATCAGAGTCACTCTTGAATCCTATCTCTCTCCTACCCATATTTTGTCCATTACCAAGTCCTTTTACTTCTATCTTCAAAACTTATCATAAATCCTTTTAACTTTCTCCATTCCCATATGAATCCTAGACCAACATCATTTCTTGCCTGTCTTTGGGCAACAGCTTCCTAACTGGTCACCTGGCTTCTAACAGTGATCCTGCAATGCCTTTTTCTCACAGCAGACACAGAGACCATTCATAAAAGACAAATCACATCTCAACACTCCCCAAATAGCTATGATGGCAGGGGTTGCATCAGGCCAAAGCCAGAAGCCTAGAACTCCATCCAGGTCTCCCTCATGGATACAGGGGCCCATGCACTTGGGTTATCTGCTGCTGCTTTCCCAGGCACATTATCGAGGAGTTGGATCTGAAGCGCAGCACCAGCACTCATGAACGACAGCACTCACTCAGCATTATATGTACTCACATGGCTGAAGCTGCTGTGCCACAATGGTGGGTCCTGTTTGTAATTCTTTAACAGTTTGCTACCATTGTGTTAACGTACAACACACTTTCTTGGCACAATCTATAGGGCACTGGTGATCTGGCTTCCCAGTGTGTCTCCTTCCCTTGTGTCATACACTCCTTGGCCACCTGGGGTCCTGCCACAGTAAACTTCTTTCAGCTTCTCTGCATTTTGGAGTCTGCAAGCTACCTTCTTTCTGGCGCTTGTGAAAAGCCAGCTTTCTCTCTCTTCAATATCACTTCCTCAAAACAGCCTTTTCAACACATTCTATCTGAATTAATGTTCCCTTCACACCCTACCCTCACCCTATTCCTTCAAAAATATAAAACCATTGAAATTATGTTTAAAATTATGCAGAAACATTGTAGTTCACTTAAAGTGCTAAGTCTCCTGCCTAAAGATTATATAAACAAGAGGAGTTATAAAGCTAACAGGATATTCATAAGAAACTTTTTTGACTGAAGTCACAATTTCTAAGTTTTACATATTTTTTTAAAATATAGTCTTTCCATATACTAATCCTAATTATATAAAGTGACATATATTTCAAATATTTTAAGAACACTGGATTATGTTTCCAGCTTGATATTCATGACTGAACATTAGCAATCCAAGTTCCTAGTTGTTTTCTGATAAATGAAACATTATTAATTATATTTAAAATATTCTGCTAATACTCCTTCTAATGATTTTTAACATCTTATCATTAACAAGAAATCTCAGGAAACTCCTCTCTTGACTTGGAGTTGAATGCTGCAGTAGGAGGTTTCTTGCTTTCAATAAACTTGGCTTTGCTCACAGAAAAAAAAAAAGTGACATCTCTATACCCCTTCTTACCATAAAACAACAAACATGCAGAGATACCAATTCATCCTAAGGGTTTTTCTTTGAGCAAAGAGGCTGGCTCAGGTACTATAGCTTGACCTTACCCACTCTTCCCACCAAGACTCACCAAACAATTGTACTCTTTTAAAATAAAAATGTCCACAAAACAAAATTTAACTCAATGGCCCATACTGCAAATCTAACTCATCATCTTGTTCTCATTTGCACCATGTACTCCACATACTCTCCAATAAAGAAAGCCATGGACATGTAACATCACGAGCAACGCTTGACATGTCCTCTGAATTCACTGTTAACAGCACATACAACGCATGAACCAATCCACCACTAAAGCTTTCAGATCACGTCAACTGTATAAACCAAGAGGCTCATATCAATTGGGTTAGTTTAATTTAATTTTATTTTTTTTTTATTTTTTGACAGGCAGAGTGGACAGTGAGAGAGAGAAACAGAGAGAAAGGTCTTCCTTTTGCCGTTGGTTCACCCTCCAATGGCCGCCGCGGCCAGCGCGCTGCGGCCTGCGCACTGCGCTGATCCGATGGCAGGAGCCAGGAGCCAGGTGCTTTTCCTGGTCTCCCATGGGGCGCAGGGCCCAAGCACCTGGGCCATCCTCCACTGCACTCCCTGGCCACAGCAGAGGGCTGGCCTGGAAGAGGGGCAACCGGGAGAGAATCCGGCGCCCCGACCGGGACTAGAACCCGGTGTGCCGGCGCCGCTAGGCGGAGGATTAGCCTACTGAGCCACGGCGCCGGCCCAATTGGGTTAGTTTATACTTTCCTTTAATTAAATGATGATTTGGGGGAGGTTCAAAACTTGCAAGAAATGTGCACTAACTAGATTTTAGATGTATATTGTATCATCTCTCATTTTTTTTCTCAGAAAAATTATGTTCAAATAGCCTAAACCACATACCGTGGAACAAAAAACTGGTTAAAAACTGAGTTTCAGCACTGAACAACCAGGTTGGCCTTGAGCAACTGACTTAATCTCATGCATAGCCTCAGTTTACCCATCTGTAAAATGGGGATAATAATGCCTACTCTGAGGATTGCTTAAAGAATTAAATGAGAAACACAATATGTGATGCAAAATGCTTAAAAGTGAGGCTGCAAAAGTAAAAACAAAAGAAAATCCATAAATTGTGTTTGAAATGTATCAGTCTTCCAAACCAAAGTTTGTGAAGACAGTTTTGTAGCATGTACATGCACTTACAGCCACAGTAATGCACATTTAAAAATGGTTACAATTGTCCATTTTATGTTACGATACTTTACCACAACTAAAAGTAAAATCAATGTATCTTGACATATTAGCATAAACAAGAAAATCCTTATAGCCTTCTCATTAGATGAAGACAAAATTCGACAAAATCCAACATTCTGTCAGTACACTAAAAATACACACTCTTAATGGTAGATTATAAAATCAGATCTGTGCAAACTATGGCTGTTATAAAAGACATCTACTTACTTCCAATCTAATTTACCAACTAATGCCAGAATGATCTTAAAACATGAATCTGATCATGTCACTGTTTTTTGGTTGGCACACACTACTTACTGGAAACTTAAGGCCTGAGAAGGTTACATGGAAAGTCCTGTGTCCTGCTCATAATCCTGCCCAGCAGTTGTCTCCTGCCTATCATTCCTTTGGCTTCAACTCTCACTTTGTGAGCCATCACACAACACTACATCATCACAAACAGTTTTCATACCCCTGTATGAAACTCTAGTAGCTTCTGACTCTTTCCAATTCCTGAAATAAATGGTAAAAATCTACTCCTATCCCAAGACCTAAATACATGTTTTCCTCTTCTCTATCTTTCTTTTCTACTCTCAGAGAGTAGGGATTATTTGTTCCTCTTTTAAGCCTTTCGTGTTTTTGATATAAGTGTCTCTCATAGCACACTTATTTTAATGCCTTTAGGACTTTATATGCCAATGAGCTTACTCTCTTAAATCCATATTCCTTGAGAAAGTGATTATTTAATAGTGTCTATGCATAGTGGCTAGCATATAGAAAACAAAAAATGACAGGAGCTGGAATCTCATTTCCTGAGGAAGCATTGTTGGCTTCATCAAGTGTGAACTTTAACAAGGAAACAAGATCCTGCCATTAGCTATTGACATAATGGGTATTGGTGGATTACTTAATCAAAGGACCTGGGTATCTGCTGTAGAGCTAACTAATCAGATTCTGTGGCTGTACTGGGGCATTCAGAGCAACTGATCTGTTATGTTGCTTGTAAACAGCAAGCAGTAGGGACATTGCTAAGTCTGTGACAGTTTAACTCAATGAAAAACAAATTGCACTGTCTGAATGTAGTTTTAGCTATTGTGATTAGGATCTTTAATTCCACAGGAAGACTTATTTGTCCAGTCCAGAGGTTTTTGTGATTATTAACCAACCGAAATACTTTATGGGTAACAGGACACAAAAATCCTGCCACCTGGGAAATACTATTGAATCACACACATTTGCATGTTGGTAGCGGCACACCTGGCTGTCCTTTTCATCTTTATTTCAGGGAATGAAAGAAATTAAATACAAACTGACTTGTGCATAACTGGTAACATTCAAACAAACTAATAATTTACTTTTCCAAAGAATTTAGAATTCCAAATTGCTGACTTTTCATTTTCTAAGAATTCCTTTTCTGATTTGCCATTTCATACACAAACCATCCCTATATCTTTTACTTGAATGTAAATGAGGCTTGTGAATACTTCGAAGTAATTAAGAGATTGAGGGATTTAAGCTAGCATGAAGTAAACAAACCTGTTAACCATTTCAAGAAAAATAATGAGTACCATAAAAAGAAAAACCGTAAAAACAACAGGAAAATTTCAACATCTATTTTCTTATCAATGCCAAAGAGTTTTGAAACCTACCATATTCAGCATGTCCCTTGGGCAAGGGGGTTGGAGGAGCCATCATATGTGGAAAATGAGGGACTTACCTAGGCTAGAATTGCCTTTTGCTGCAGTAATAGTTTTCACAAAAGATTCTTTGGATAGGTTTTGGAGCATGACACATTCAGAATTAGAAACCAGGGAGCTCTGTTCAGTCAAGTACTCAGAGCCCTGAAAGAAAGAAAAAGTAAATTACCTGGAAAGGAAAACTAGACTTTGGAGTGTGATTTCAACATCACACACAGGCTCTCATTGGCTGTGCTGGATTCTACACAAATCTATAACCAAAACAAGTTCATAGGTTGCCTTCTGAAAATCTCAGTGTCAGGAGAGCATTTATTTATTTCAAATGAAGAGTAAGAGTTTAGCTAGAACACTCAAACCCTTCACTGTCTCCTATGTCATCATAATGTACAAACCTTTCCAGTTGAATCAAGTAGCACAGGTGAGGTAAGTTCTGTACGGGCTATAACCTCACTTGGTAAGTGAGTCTCAGTCCATGCTATTGTGTTTTCACATTTGTATTGCTGTTCAATAGCATTCGCAGGTGTATAATCGTTTATGGTAAACCCAGAAGCAGGCCCCATGCTCAAGTCCACTGAAGGTGGATTCTCATCCTTTCTTTGCAGCAGATTTTGGGTATAGAGTTCCTCCAAGGACATATGCAGATCAAGAACTGGATCGGAAGAATGCTCAGTAACTTCCTGACGATTAAAGAACAAAAACTGTGACCAGAATTATGTCAATGTATCTTATAAAACCACTCCTTAACAAACAGCTATTACATGAAAAATAAAACTGAAAACAATTATTTCTTACTCAAAAAGCATTAATAAACATGTAAGTTCTTCACTTAGCAGCTTTTCTATCTTTATTTCCATAAGTACCCTTAAATATATTTCTTACAAATCATAATCTCATGTTCTACTGAATTATACGTGTCATATATACTGTACATATGATTATTTAGATAAAATATTATACAATATCAACAAATAAAATTATTCAGTGTTCATGCCACAGAGAAAAGTGAATAACTTATATTTCCAAGTCTCACTTAAAATGTAATTGATGTCCACCCAGTGTGAAGTTCCTAGTTATTACAAGGTCGGATCATAACAAAGGGTGACATTAATTAGATTCATAAAAGCATCCAAGAGAAAATTATTTTGAAAGGCATTTAAAGGTATTTATGAAGAATAGAAAGCCTTACAATTCAATCATAGGGAAAATGTGTATCAGTATTCTGAAGATGTAACAGATACTGAAATGGGTCATCATAAATATAAAGTCTAATCCAGACTCTGTTATTCATAATCCGTGCATTATAGAATCTCTGTGGGCTTTTAGAGTGGACAATTTCTACAATTCCCAGAAACTCTACAATTCTACATTTCTATAAATATGCATGTATCTAATAGAACAGATATACTATGTCAGTATGAGCTTTAGGCAAGCAGTTGTTTTAGGAGCTACTGTTGAGTAAATATATCAGTTTTCCCTTTGACACTCTTGATGAAATTTTTAAGGCATTAAAGTAGCATACCCATGCATTATCATATGAGACAGTCGAGGCTTGCATATGAATACTGTGTACTCATACAGAGTACAATATGAAAATTTTCCCTTATGGATCCTACTTCCATTCCCTTCCCCAGGAAAAACTGCTACATCACATAGGTGTTTATGAATCAGATTTCTTCATGCATTTGCATGCATACACACAAGCATACACATTTTTAAAATCTAAATAGACCCACACAATAAATAGTATTTGACTTGTGTTTAAAACATCTTTATATATTAAATATGAGAAATTCTGATAGCTATAAGTTATTCCTAAGTATGAGAGGTGCTGGAATGTAGGCTACAGAGCCAAGCTGCCACCACGGGCAACCTGAGCTATGGCAAGTAACTTAAATACTTTGTGCCTTGCTTCTCTCTTCTATTAATTGGGAAAAATAATAGGACATTTGAAAAGCACAGAGTTAAAACCCACAAAGTACTAAAAGCAGGCCTAACATAACAAAAAATGCCCAATAATTGTTGGCTGTTGCTGTGATTTATATTATACAACTTGGTGCACATGTATGAAAATATATTCATTATGAACTACAAGGAGTGGTGGGTCAAATGGCATGCTGTTCTTAAATATTACCAAAATTTTCCAAATTCTTTAAAGATAATACTGGGGCAGGTGGTGGGGGAGGGTAGAGGGGAATTTGGCCTAGCAGTTTTGTCCCATAACAGAGGATTAGGTTAGATGACTGCCTCCAGCAGCTGATTCCAGGTTCCTTCCAATGCAGACCCTGGGAGGATGGCACTTGGTTTCTTGCCGCCTTTATCAGAGATCTAGATTGAGTTTCTGGCTCCTGGTTTTGATCCACACCAGGGGACACTGTGTGTATTTAGAGAGTGAGCCAGTGGATGACAGCTTTGTCTGCCTCTCAAATAAATCATTTTCTCTAAAGAAGAGATAATATTAACTGAATGACCTTGCCAACCCTAGATTAGTTTAGCAATCTGATCTGTAAGAAGTATATCTGTAAGAAGTATATCCTTTAGCATTACAGTCTGCATGCCCCTGATAGTTGACGAGGACATGCCATTTGTTTATCTTCTGTGACACTTTCTTCATACAGTTCAAGTATTTATCCAGTGATTTTTAGTTGTTCTTGTCATTGGAATATTCTGAATACAAGATCTTTGTGATAAATATTACAAATATTTCCTAGTCTATCCTTTGTCTTTTAAGTCTATAAAGCAAATACTTTGTCATGCAGAAACCAAATCAATGTAATAAACTTTGCCAATTAATTTTTTGTGCTTCTGGATTTAATACATGGCTTAGTAAGTCCTTCCTCTACAAAGCATAAATGAAATGATTTCTAATACTTTTATCCTGTTTTTATAAATGCTTCATTTTTAGATTTTAAACCATCTAGAATTTGTTTCAAGGTATATGTGAGTTAATTGCCACATATTTTTCAATGTATTATACTTCCCTTCTTCAATGAAAGTTACCGTATCTCTGAAATTATTAAATAGTTCTGTTACAAAGATTAAGGCAGCAGGAATATCACACAAACAATTAATGTCATTAGTATCTTCAGAAACAAACAATAGGAATGTTTCCTCCCCCAGCTCTAGAATCTAAATAATAATAAACCATGGCTCATTCATCCACCTTTGCTTATTATATCCTTAAGAAAAATAACAATGTACTTACTATAGAACTGATTAGCTTCCTTATTTCTAAAGTAATTATAATAATTAGCAGTAAATTATTTTTCCCATGCCTCAAATAAAGATAACAAATTTGTCTTCATCAGAAAAAGAGGTAAAGCCACCTGTTAGTTGAGGTGTACTAAAAGTCGTGTAACAGAAACTTCCACGTATTATTCATGAAGGAGTTAACACAGACACACAGAAAAGAAATAGCTGATCAACACAGTAGACAACATACACCCACTTCAGAAACATTTCTGGTAGCTGAACAACCAACTGAGTTTTATTTTAAAAATCTTAAGGATCTGAAAGAAAAACAGTTCTTCACCCATAAGATGTCCAAAAATAACTCTATAATTTTCCAGTGCAACTCGCATCTAAGCTGAAGTCTTTCAAAACTCCAAACTAACATGTGCTTCCACATGATGTATTTATAGATAAAATATATATTTTCCCCTCAGGAAAAAGCAGAGAAGAGGTTAAATTAACATGTCAAATATACTCGGAAAAAAGTTCAGTCCTATGTTAAAGTTAGGCTTGGGTACATTATTTCCCCTGATAATGTCTTTATATAGTTCAGCTAAATACTTCAATGTTCACTGGCCATACTCTGCTTTTCTTCAATAAGCAGTCTACCAGAGCATTCTTGTTATACTTTATAAAAATATACTGCAAGCATAGCTGCTCCAACTTACTATGACTCTTCCATCTGTCCTGATAGGAGGGATACTTCCTTTAGGTTTATATACACTCTACGGTGGAAAAGGCAACATCTTGTATATCTTTGAGAGCCTGAAATGTTGTCACTATGACTTCTTCATTCACACATCATTATGACTACAGTAATTTGATTTTTTAGCTTAACCTCTTCTCAAAAAAAATAAGAAACATTCTAAATACAGATGTGAAGCAGCAATGTTTTATGCTAGAAAATGATGCTGAAGTGTGCTTTTGTAAATTATGGAATCCATTAGTCATATTAAGTATATAACGTACAAAGAAAAGCTCCTGTCTTGACAAACACTAACTTCACCTTGCAGTAGAATCAACAGAATTCCCTGGCAAAACTAATATTCTGGAGTGAAGGACATACCCTATGTTGGCAACAATTTCACCTCTGGTAAGAGAGTGAGACTATTGATATCCAGGTGAGGGCAGTGTGTAGGGTGTGGATAAGTAGAAATGGAGACTCATTATGTAGCTATTATATCCCTACCAGTTGTATTTTTAAATTAAAACAGGAAAAAAATAAAGCAAGCATCTGTTGTCCTAAAAACCATGTTGAGCTCTTAAACAGAAGTCTATAAACATTTAAATTTGGAAAATAGTTAGTTCTGCGTTTTTCATGTCTTTTAAGGTAAGAGGGAAAAAGATAAAAAGGTTAACAAAAAAGTAACATCTGAAGCCATAAGAAAGGAAAAAAAATTCCCAATGGTAATAGCTTTGTTGCCTTTAAAACCCACATTTAAGTGACCTGCCTCCATTAACCTACGTATCAAAGAAGTATGCATTTAAATTCTTAAATGATAAATATCCAAATTAAGCAAATGTGTACTCCTTCAAAAAAAATGTAGAATGGGCCTCAAAGGGGAGAATTTTATGAGTACCAATGTATGGCTGGCTACAACAGCCCTTTGGTGTTTAAGCTGTGACAGGGTCTTAAACTCTGCTCCATAGAGTGGGGCTTCCCACTGTGATGGGCCAGCCTTGTGGTAATCAGCTTTTGCAGCTTCTGGTGGCATATGGAACAAGGTCAAGAGAGCTTGCTATAGTTTGCAGATTGATCTAGGTGTCTCCGAAAAGGCCCATGTGTTAAAGGTTTGGTTTCCAAAGCCTTATGTGAATGCTTAATGAATTCATGTTAATGGATTAAGGATGGAAGCTTAATCCAAGTATGCTGTCTGAAGGTGGAGACTTTGGGAAGTGATTAGCCTGGAGTAGGCTGTTAGGGTGATCAAATCATAGTGACTTTGAGAGAAAAGATACATGGACATGGAGAATGAGTGTGCTCCCTGTCTCTCTGCTTCCCGGATGGACATGTGATTGTTTCTCTGTACATGCACTGTCATCTTCTGGCTTCACCAGACTGCTAATCCAAAGCATTCCAACAGATCTCGGGCTATGAATCTCCAAAACTACAGACAAAAATAAATCCTCCTTCTTAAATTAGCTTTTCTCAGGTATTTTCATTACAGCAATGAAAATCTAACACAACCTCTCATCACAGTGAGAAGATAGGTAAAATTGTTTTTTCTACTTCCAATCATCATTTAAGACTGCAAGATTTCACAGCAGGTTAAGTTGCTGCTTGGGACTCCTGCATCCCACATCTGAGCGCTGGCTACAGTCCTGTCTTCCACACTTCTGATTCAGCTCCCTGCTAATACACTTGGGAAGCAGCAGATGATGGCTCAAGCACTTGAGTCACTTCCGCCCTCATTAGAGACCCAGATGGAGTTCCTGGCTCCTGGCTTCAGCCTGGCCTAGCTCACTGGCTGTTGTGGCCACTTGAGGAGTGGGAGGACAGAATTTCTCATACTCTGTTTCTCACTCTCTGTCAATAAGCCTTTCCAATAAATAAATCTTTAAAAAAAAAGACTACAATTATTACACAGATAGAAAACTCAAAAATTTGAGGAATCAATGAGATCCTCACCCTCTCTATTTTATTCCTTTCAGAACAGTTTTGGTGCATTATCTATGTTAAACATCTATTATACTATATGCTTGCTTATATGGTATCTAACCATATATGCTTAAATAACATCATACATTATCTGGTTTTATGCTATTAATTAGAAAGCTCTGAAACAAGCTCATGGTTATTTAACAAAAGTAGACAATTTGAAATTTCATAACAAATTAAGAATGTGCTTTAAAATAGTACAAAGAAACAGGAAAAATGAATAATATTTTTATTTACAAAAATTTTCTAGCAAAAAAATCTAGGTACTAAAAAAGGTGCCACCCAAAACAACAAAATCCCACAAAAACAATGTTACAGCTTTACCATGATATAGGAATGTTCCTACTTTCTAAGAAAACTGAAAGTACACAGGAGTTTCACAATGTGTTTTAAAACACTCTCATTAATGTCTTCTTTGTTGTTTTGTAGTTTAAGTTTTTCAGTTGATAGCCCAGCTTGCCAAAATTTGCTTCAACAAAAGAGTAAACTGCTTTGGAAAAAAAAATAAAAAGGAGGCAAACAGACTTCAGTAAGCCAATATGTTGTGCTGCACACAGCCAGCATTTGCCCTGTAAAATATATGCTTCTCAGTATGCAGATTGTGTAATCCCTTTAAGTAACAATTACTAAGTTAAACAATGCAATCTGTCCCACTGGCAAGAAGAAATATGCTATGCAGTAGATTAGGGGATCCCATTAGGAGATGAACTAAGCTTCCAGCCCTGAGGCCAGTGAAGACTGAACACATTCCAGACAGGACACAGCCAGACAGTCTCAGGTGTGGTGGGAGAACAGCAGCTGCTCCACCAAGATTATACCTTGCAAACTAATTCAAGATTGCCCAGCATTATTTGCAAGGATAACAGGTGCACCTCAAATATAAAAGAAATGCTTTGAAAATGTTCTGGCCAAAAAAAATTTATTCGTTAATAAAGAAATATGAAAAACCATGTGAAACCTATGGAGATCCTAGTTCACAATTTATTCATAAATACAGACCTCTTCCCACTGAACTCAATTTTTGCAGAAGCCAAGTATTTAAAAAATTTATTGTCCAATTTTAAGGTGTTTTTATGGTATATTTTTAATGTAGAAAAATTAAGAAAATATATTCATATATTAACTTGTTGCCCAGATTTAGCAGATATACTCTGCCATATTTTATTCACTCTTCTTAAAATGACATATTATAGACACGGCTAAATTCCCATGCTTCCTTTTCATCTCTAAGGGTGACTTCTTCCCTGAAGCTGATAAGCACAGTGCCCAACATCCTTAGACTTTCATTACACAAAAGTACATACATACTCAAAAAACATGTTAAATTATTACAAATATATCAATTTTCAGAGAACATAAACTCCAGCAAACCAATACAAAGATAATTAACCAATGTAAAAATAGATAAAAGTTCATGGTATAAACAAATCTTTTAAAAAAAGGGGGGTGAGGGGCTGGCACTGTCGCAAAGCAAGTGAAGCCACAGCCTGCAGTGCCAGCATACCGTATGGGGGCTGGTTTGAGTCCCAGCTGCTCCACTTCTGATCCAGCTCTCTGCTATGGCCTCGGAAAGCAGCAGAGGATGGCCCAACTCCTTGGGCCTCTGCACCCGTGTGGGAAACCATGAAGAAGCTCCTGGCTTCAGATTGGCGCAGCTCCGAGTGAACCAGCGGAAGGAAGACTCCTCCCTCTCTCTTTCCCTCTCTCTCTCTACCTCTCTACCACTCCTTCTCTCTGTGTGTAACTTAAATAAATCAATAAATCTTTTTTTTTTAAAAAGTTCATGGTAACATGTCATTTTTATACCCAAAGGTTGGATAGATTTTAAAATACTACTTATTGAACATTATACATGGTCACCAAGAAAATGAATAAAGCTGGGGCATTTCTGCCAATAATTTATCTATAAAAGATGCAAGGCAAAGACATTAAATAGTAGGTAAACTCATCATTCTTATACAGTAACATAAATATACTTTACCGCTCACAGTTATTTTTGTGAATTCTTTTATATCATTTTATACTGAAAACATTCTAGCTATAATTTAATTAGTACATTTTAAAATAAGAAATATTTGAATATCTAACTTCACATAAATGTCAGTTTTAAAAACACTGAAAAACATTGTTCATATAATTTTTCCAAAGTAGACAAAATGAAAAGAGAAATACAACTCATTAAAATTTTTCTTTCTGGGCCGGTGCCGCGGCTCACTAGGCTAATCCTCTGCCTAGCGGCGCCGGCACACCGGGTTCTAGTCCCGGTCGAGGGCGCCAGATTCTGTCCCGGTTGCCCCTCTTCCAGGCCAGCTCTCTGCTGTGGCCAGGGAGTGCAGTGGAGGATGGCCCAGGTGCTTGGGCCCTGCACCCCATGGGAGACCAGGAAAAGCACTGGCTCCTGGCTCCTGCCATCGGATCAGCACGGTGCGCCGGCCGCAGCGCGCTGGCCGCGGCGGGCCATTGGAGGGTGAACCAATGGCAAAGGAAGACCTTTCTCTCTGTCTCTCTCTCACTGTCCACTCTGCCTGTCAAAAAAAAAAAAAAAAAATTTTTTTTTTCTGACATGGAAATCCTAATCCAAGCTTTGACAGACACTGTCTCGTGGCCATGGGAGTTAAACGGTCCCCCAAAATCTGAAAGACACTCAATTAACACTGCTAAATGAAACTGTACTTTAATCTGATAATGAGAATCTGTGACTGGAGAAACACTGTCTCTAACATGCTACCCCCACAACTTCCCATTAACACTGATCTCTGAAAATTATTCACAAGGTTTTCCCATAAATGAAAAGACATTTCTTTCATACCTTGGGAGGCGATGATGGAAGGGAGGAACCGTAGTTCATACCATCACTACCAGCACTGCCATGAAGAGATAAAATAGAGGCTTGAGGAGAGTAGACACTGTCCTTATCAGGAGAGTACTGAGATTCAAATGTGGACTCATCCGCCAGGTCAGCACATTGTGTCCACCTAGGAATAAAACAACAATCTAGAAAACCAGCTCTGTTACCTGTATGTCATTCTTGACTTGAGACAAAAAAAGCACACGAGTAGCATTGTTTGTTTATTCTGTGTTATGCATGCCCTCTCTCCACCCTCTTGAATGCTTACCAGAATAATAATGCAGCAGGACAGAGATGAACTGCCCACCTACTGCAAAGGGTACTGGCATGGAAGGCTATTTTATTCCATCAGTAAAAGTGCAATTAACAAAGGGCCTGGATCAATTCTAAATTTAAATAGTTCCATATGTTAAGGACATATTTACATGCCCAGTTCTTACAATTTTATAATAAATGAACTAGGTCATCACTTTTCCTATTCAAATAAAATTATAATTCAATGAGGTGCTCTACTCTAACCTATTTGTCAACCTCACTGAAAATAAAATCTCTGTGTAAATTACTTTGAACTAGATTTTGAAACCACTCAAGTTGCACAAACCAGAGAAAATCTGTTATATCATGCTAAAATTACACTAACAAACAAGGAGTCTAATTATGATCTGGCTATGGGTGAAGCTTTAAGTTATAAGCTTCTGTTATAAAACTCATATAGAATGAGGCAATTTCACTAAATATTAATCTAAAAGTCCTGTTACTATCTTCTGTGAAGAACCAAGAGAAAGAATTAAGTCATTGTGAGCTTGTCTTCCTGCAATTCACTCAGTCAAACCTTAGAATAGGCAGAAATAGATATAAATGCTACTCATCTCTGATACTACCAGCATTTTCTATCTTGATGGCAAAATCCCTATGTTACAATTCTTTTTGTGCCAAAAATTAGAAACATTATAGCTTTATACCAAGTCATATTCTTGTGAAAAGCTGCTAAAAAATACAGAGGGCAATTTTCAAATGGCCTTCTCTTCAAATGTTTTTAATAGGCCTACTCATCTCTTTAAATATTCAAATTCACTGTTTCAAATTTACATGTTCAAGTTCTCTGGGGAGTCACCATGTGGAGGATTACGCTTTACAAATGTGCATTATGTACAACAATCTAGACAACAATACTTAGCTTTGCTATTTAGGTAAATAGTATCAGGTAAGTCTTATATCATGGATTACAACGAATATTACATGAAGAAAGCATACCTCAATATAATTTGTATAACTCACTGATGCCTTAGAAACTTGGAAGAATTCCTGACAATTTATCTAGCTGCTGTAGAGATAAAACACGAGGACACAGAGAAACTTCAGTTAGCAGCCCAAGATTACTGATTGCCACGCTATTTATTATAAGACGCTAAGATCCCATCAAAGTGGGACTAATCTTCATTTCAGTTGATATGCATTTAGGAGCTTTAAGGAGCCCTGTAAATTCTAGAGAGAATACTTTTTCTTAGTGTATATTGAAGTCAGGGATATATTTGTGTCCTCTGACATTTCAAAAGGAATTTGCTACAGTTGGGTATTATTTAACCCATAGAACTTACATAGCTCATAGCATACTAATCTAGTTTTGAAGTGCTAACATATGCCTATGAAGATTAGAGCCAAAAGGTATCCAGCAAGTTAAGCATTATAATGTAAAATTATTGCATTCACTATATATGCACGGAACTTTCCAAATGGCTATTTCAAGAACCTGCACTTAAAAATATTAACGGAAAGAATTGTCTCTCCCAAAATGGGGATTACCAAAATGAATGTAGAGTCAAAGAAATAATTCACACTGTGATTCAAAGCGAGGATGTGCATAATCAGTTATAAATACATAAGAATTTGACAGGTTTTAAACCTCTTCCTAGACTAACAACACTGAAGTATGTAAAAGCAGGGCATAGTTAGGCATCTAGCTTTAATCGTAGGAGTAATGAGAATAAGGATGCATAATTTGGTGTATTGCATAAATGCCACATGGTAGATGATTTTTATCCTTAATTTTCAACATAGCTTTGTCCCATCCACCAGATAGTAATGTTCCCATGGAAGAGTGACACCTAATAATTGCATTTTAATTAGTGATTTAATAAAGAGCAGCAGAAACAAAATTATAATTAAATTTTCTAGTAAATCAATCATTTGCATTCTTATTTATAGACAATATGTGTTTTTTTTTTTTTTTTTGACAGGCCAGAGTGGACAGTGAGAGAGAGACAGAGAGGAAGGTCTTCCTTTGCCGTTGGTTCACCCTCCAAGGCCGCGCGGCCAGTGCGCTGCGGCCAGCACACCGCGCTGATCCGAGCCAGGAGCCATGTGCTTTCCTGGTCTCCCATTGTGTGTAGGGCCAAGCACTTGGGCCATCCTCCACTGCACTCCCTGGGCCACAGCAAGAGCTGGCCTGGAAGAGGGGCAACCGGGACAGAATCTGGCGCCCGAGCGGGACTAGAAACCCGGTGTGCGGCGCCACAAGGCAGAGGATTAGCCTAGTGAGCCGCGGCGCTGGCTGACAATATGTGTTTGATAGTGAACCAATAATATTATTTTAACTATTAATATTTAAGAGAAAATCTACCTGTTACCTCATTAAAAGGTAACCAATGTATTGATTTATGTCTGAATACTAAAAACAGTTAAAGAATGCCTAAAAATATCCAGGTATGAAATCAGAGCAGTGAGTCCTCTAATAACATTAGTTATCATAGATTAAGTCTACATGTTGATACAATGTCATTTTAATTGAATGTTCTCTACAAAGCCAACAAATGTACATATAAACACATATATTCAGTATATACAATTTTTATATATATATATATTCAGAGATACATTTATAAATGTGTGTGTATATACATTATATAGAGAGAGAGAGATTTTCAACCATGAGAACCACTTGAGTTGGTGATAATAGGTTTAGGTTTCAAAAGTATAAGAAACAAAAAAATATAACATGACATCTTTGGAGTATTTTGAAAGGCAACGTTAAGACAAAACTTCTGAGAGAAAGCTTGATAAGTGTGGCCACTAACCAGAGCCAAGTCAGCCCTGAAGAGGGCTTTGTCAGTCAGCCCTTCATCCTCACAGGAGTGTGGTGGGTAGAAAGGAATCCTCCTTCGCAGAGACATAACCTTCTTCTGGTGAAAGCTGCAGGGAACACAGTTTAAGGAAAAGACAGCAAACAGCCAAGAAAGAAGGTGATCGGGAAGGAAGGGGATGGGGAGAGAAAGTAAAAGAGGAAGAGAAAGCAATGGGAAAGTTTTCAAATGATAACATGTGACTTTATATAGATCAAGAAGTCTGATATTCTCATTAAGCATTTTAATTTGCTAAGACACAATGAGGACATTTCTCCTAATAGGAACATCATCTATTACATAAAAATCTCTTCCTACTAATTTTTTCATTCTTATTATAAAGCCAACAGCAATTTAAAAATATTATAGTAATTTTCTGGTTATTTTTATCTGTCTAAATATTCTGGCCAAACAATGACATCCTAATAAATAAAGCAAGTCTTAAGTGTTTAATACCTAAAAGAAAGTGCAGAAGAGGAAACATTAAAAGGAAGGATGAGCTTCTCTACAGAAGCTTTTAAGAATGTAATGTACTGATAGGAATGTTACTGATCCCTGCAGTGAAGTCTCTTAATTAAGCATGGCTTGTAAACAAAACAAAACAGAGCAAAACTCTACATGCATGTACTGCTTCAATTTCAGTCCTGGGCTATTATATTGTGACCTTGATCACACTGACCTCAAACACAATACAGTCTCAGACAATATGGACTAAAATAGGTACTTATCTTGTCTACATCACCCTGTTTTGGCAATCCACGCAAAAGAAGTATTACTATGGAAAAAACATTCTTCTTATACATGATTTTAATATTCATAACCTGACTTTGTATAATAAATATATTTATCATATACTGCAATGCAGCCAAATTGGAATATCAAATATGGTATGAAAGGCATTTATTTGAAATCCAGCTAGAAAAAGAATACTCTGCTTTTAAAATCTGTATGGTTTTGCCTTAAGGGCAGTAAAAAAACATATTGGATATTTAGCACTATTCATTGTTTAATAGAAATATTATACAAAATTTATGATCTAACATTAATAAATACAGTATCCCATGATGGCCTATCTCTGTTTTCACATTAATCTTTGTACTGGTCAATTGTGGATGTTTTCTACCACGCCAGTGTGAGTTTTGACTGGACTAACATAGTCGTCATTCTTCCCTCCTTTTCTTTCTTTTTTCATAAATATATTTTCATAGGTTCTGAAATGCTTGTGAGATAAAAAGTGGTACATGAATTAATCATATTTAAATACATTAACTATGCTTATATTTGAACAAATTCAAAAAGTCAACAAATTCTTTTTGCTATTTAAACAAATATATACAAATATATATTTGTACTCTTATTTTCTCAAGAGACAGTATATTTGCCTTTTCTTTTACAACTCTATATTCCAGAAAAACACACAGATATTGAGAAAGTCTCTAACTTACTTTCAGTGTAAATAGTGCTTAGTGCACACTGCAATCACTAAAACAATGAAACAGTACTTTATATGGCATACATTCATTAGTTGTTTCAAAATTACTTTGTGGAATGTGGGACCTATACCTCCCAGGAGGAGTGTCAAAAAGTTGATGAGCCCATTTTCCAAAGTTTAATTCCCTGATCTGGAGTAACTAGGAAACAAATATGTTGAAATTAACAGAATTTAGGAACTTAAGTCACTCTGAAAGAAATTCTACTTGACTTCACTGTGATCAAAGACTCTACTGTTTGGCCAGTGCCGCGGCTCACTAGGCTAATCCTCCGCCTTGCGCGCGGCACAGGGTTCTAGTCCCGGTCGGGGCGCCGGATTCTGTCCGGTTGCCCCTCTTCCAGGCCAGCTCTGCTGTGGCCAGGGAGTGCAGTGGAGGATGGCCCAAGTCCTTGGGCCCTGCACCCCATGGGAGACCAGGATAAGTACCTGGCTCCTGCCATCGGATCAGCGCGGTGTGCCGGCCACAGCGTGCCAGCTGCGGCAGCCATTGGAGGGTGAACCAATGGCAAAGGAAGACCTTTCTCTCTGTCTCTCTCTCTCACTGTCCACTCTGCCTGTCAAAATAAATAAATAGATAAATAAAAAAAGACTCTATTGTGAGATGTCAATGTCAATAAGTAATTGACAAAAAATAAATTTCAATACCCCAGTAAACTAGTATTTTAATATAACTATATTCTTTAATATTTGATATGCATTTTTAAAGACCTTATTTTGAAATTAAAAAGGTCAAAAGTGAACCATAATGTGTAAGTCTAGCTCTCTGAAATCCTGGCTGCTTTATTCCTTTATTCTTTTTAAAGTAGTACTCCAAATTGAATCTTTTTCCTCAGAGAGTTAATAACCACTTTGAAGAAAACTACCAAAGTCATGGTTCAATCATGAGAAAACCTGAGCTAAAGAAAAGCTGATCTTTTTTTTTTTTTGCTAATATAGAAAGATATCAATAAAATCCAAATTCTTACAGGTAAAGGCTTAGCAACTCCTATTCTCACAGTTCCTGAGGGTGCTCCTTCAGCGCCTCTACAGCTTCTTCAAGACTGCTGCTTTCCAAGTTCACATCATTGACAAACATGAGGCGATCTCCAGGAAGAAGGCGACCATCCTTTTCAGCAACTCCACCAGGTACCAAAGAACGAATGACAATCACAGTGCTTGTTGGATCAACTGGATCCTAGACAACAAAAAAATAAAGAGAACTCAGCTCATTTTTGAACTGCAAATTTTTTTATAATTTGTTCATCTGAAATATAAAGGATAAGTAACTGCTTCAAATATCTTAAAAAAAATCATATAAAATTTCCAATGAATTATCTGGGTTGAGATTTCTCCACTTTGGAGAGTTTAAAGAAAGTTCACGGAAACAATGGCATCTCACTTACTAATATTCTTAAGTAGACCTCAACAATTGTACAGGTAACATCAAAATTATAATTTTATTTTTAATAAGCTGTCTATTCTGATTTTATATTTACTGTGATGGTAGTGACACAAATTACACAGTTAATAAGATAGAAGAGCACTCTAAACACACATTTATAACCATCCTTTGAGGCTAAATTCTGAGTGTATTAATTATTAGCAACAACACTTATTAAATAGGATGTTACCATGTGGAACATCAACTCACCACTAGATAGGACCTGCATTTTTGGAATGAAGAAGCATAGAAAGAAGCCAAATATTATTTGTTGATGCTGTGTTTTCATTTGAACAGCGACCTTCACATCAGAACAAGGCTCCAGAATATCAGGTCCAATGCACACAACTTCCTAAAGTCATCTGAGATAGCTTTCTGCTTCAGTACTAACAAGGAGTAACAGATGCACTCTATCATGCAGGTGCCAGCATTTCCTTATTTACTGAGCTTAGAACACAATTCAGGTAAGGACACAGACTGTTCATGACCATTTAGAGCATATTCATGAATTTAGGAAAGTAACTGGAATATCAGAATTTATAATATGTCACATATCATGCATGAATCTTATTTAACAAAATAAATAATACTTTAGTCTTACAGTAACGTATGAGTCATCATTAAGAGCATGGAGGGCCGGCGCTGCGGCTCACTAGGCTAATCCTCCACCTTGCGCACTGGCACAGGGTTCTAGTCCCGCTCGGGGCACCGGATTCTGCCCGGTTGCCCCTTCCAGGACAGCTCTCTGCTGTGGCCAGGGAGTGCAGTGGAGGATGGCCCAAGTGCTTGGGCCCTGCACCCGCCTGGGAGACCAGGAGAAGCACTGGCTCCTGCCTTCAGATGAGCATGGTGTGGCGGCCGCAGCGCGCCAGCCACAGTGGCCACTGGAGGGTGAACCAACGGCAAAGAAGACCTTTCTCTCTGTCTCTCTCTCTCACTGCCACTCTGCCTGTCAAAAAAAAAAAAAAAAAAAAAGAAAAAAAGAAAAAGAGCATGGAAATAAAGCGTGATATAATTCCCTCTAAATGACCAAAAAATTCCTATTTCCATGATAATCTTAAAATATATCCTACATATTCTTCCAAATTACCATGAGTTGAACAAAAAAAAGCTCATTGAATTCCATGTTAAAAGAAATCTTATGATGATCAATACATCATAGATGTGTGTTTGAAAAATTAACTAGAAATAAGAAAATATCTTTATGATTT